CTTATTTCGGTTATTTAGCTGTGGTAAATCGGTTAAAAATAATTTAATAGCAATAATTTATCAATGTTAATATATAGTAAATTGAAAAAATAAATAAATATGAATATAGAATGCACATTATCTATTTGAAAAATATTAGTTAATTGTGGTAAATAATAATAAAACTACTGTAAAAAGAAAGTGTTAAATTATGAAAATCAACATCTTAAATATCAGCGTTTAATCGCAAGAACATTACCACGCAATCAATATAAAAACTATGTTTTACTTATTTAAATTAAAAAGTAGAAAAATTTCTGAAATTTTCACGTTTGAATTTTTTTTAACAATTTTTATATAATATAATGCGCGTATATACTTGAATATTTAATGCTACGCTTAATTTTGTTTAAAAAAAAATCCATCATATTATCCAAAAAGTTTTTTATCCTTGACACATATAATTTTCCATATATTTCCATCACACACATATCATGTATTTAAATATAAACTCATGAGTTTTTATTTAGGTTTAGTTTTTTATTTTTTTTATTTTTTTTTTTGATGGAGCTTATGACTATCGTCCATATCCTAATGTGTTTATTAAAATACTATTCAATCTAATTCCAAAATTTCATCTTGAAGCAACAATCTGATAAAACCCAATAGTCCAAATGACAATCTAACTCAAAATTGAATTATGGTTAGCTGGTTTTCTGTACTCTAGTAGGTCAGGTTTTGACGAAGATATTTTTTTATGAAAATACAATTTTAAGGCTTTGTTTTACATTCTGGTTTTTCTGCCCCCGACTTATTTGTGAAATGACCATAGTAATTGCAGATGAAGAATGATTTTGTTACTACCAATTCTAAAACCACCAGAAAAAATAAATCCATCCCGATTGGCGATTTATAGTGTTTATATTATCGTTTTTGAAAGGTTCTAGGATGTTACCAATCATAGTATTTTTAAGCGAGATACATATGGCATGGATAATTTAAGATTTAGATATCAGTAAAACCACAGATCATATGGTTAGAGTCACATTTTTCATGCTCAAATTTTTCTTCTAGTATTTACATAATATACCAGTTATAGAAGAAGTTTGTTTGAAAAACTCATCTGTTTAAGGATTATTAACCTTCATCTTGAGGTCATCTAATTTAAAACACAATTTCATATTTTCAACATTAGTTAAGATACTAGAGATGATAGATTTTTAAAATAAAATTGTCCTAATAACTCCAATAATGGCTTAATTATTGATAAATTTTAAGATAAAGACGCATTTCACAGCATTCCAATGGCTACTATTAAGTCATAATTTGATTAGAAGGAGAATTTTGTTGACTGAAAATCACTTAAAAAGAAGTTGAAAATACGTATTCTTCTATTAGCACCGCGAGTAACATGGACTTATGGTATGTTTTATTCATATATATATATATATATATATATGATGTAAAAGTTAAAAGAAATAACTCGAATTGTATAACAGAACATTAAGGTTTACCAATGTGATAATCAAACTGTTATTTTTTTTAACCATTTCAGCACTTCTAGGTTCTGGACAAGCTTCGATGTATTCTACGTATATTTAGGATCCGCTTAATGTGACCTACTTGTGACGTCTTACCAGCAAAAGACAACATAACCATGTATAGGTGATAGACAATGGGTTGTTATCGGAACACTAATGACGTGTACTGGTAAAATCAGATATAAAACTACGATTCTACGTAGGGTGTGTAAAACTTATGAGAGCATAATACAAAAGTGGCATAAAGGGAAGTTTGTTTGGAAGACTGACTCAAATCAACACCGGTCTATACAGACACTTTTTATAAAACTTTTACAACAAAACCACAAAAAAACAACGTATTATTTTCAAAGAAAATATGATCGAATTTATATCTAGTGCACTTACAGTATGTATATTATTTTAACTCGATTACATTTCTATAAAATCAAAAAATGATGTTACACTATTTTCACTATTAAATAATATGATGTATTTCTTCAATTAAGAAGTTTTTTAAATTACTGAAATATTGATTTTAGTAATAATAATATACTTTACCGGTTAAACGATTCAATCGTTTCTCATGATATAAAAACTGTAAATTGTACTGAACTTAAATTTTTTTTTGGTATACTAAATTATTTTCATTATCAAACATTGTATTTTAAATATCAATTGGCGTAAACAAAATAATATTATGTTGACTGGCTGTTTATAATGTATAATTTTTATAATCTTATTTATCAATAAACAAAAAATAAATAAATATAACGCACATAAAACACGATATATACACTATTAACTTAATTTTTATTTAATAATATAAACGTAACTCAGTGAAGAAAAAAATAATATTATGGCTTTTCAGAATAATAGATCAGCGCAGTTAATTATAGGCTTGGTAACAGGATTCATGTTGGGTCGTTTCATTAATACGAAAACTCAAAAACCAACGGTACCAAAAAAATCAACGAAACCAACAAGCCCGAAGACAAGGTCAAAAACAACACCAAACGAATCCTCACCATCGTCAATAACACCGACAACAGCAGACAAATCATCATCAATATCAACAAAATCAACACCACAGCAAAAAACTGTATCAAAACCAAGGAAAAAACAATAAACTGTGAAATCACCATACAATATTATGTGATTAAAGAAATTGTATATGTTTATACTTGACGTCCAAATATTGTTTAAGAATGTAATAATCAGGGAACAGATTTAAATGTTCTAAAAAATAAGAAGAATGACTTATAAAAATACGATTTATTATACTCAAACAATTTTTTTTTTTAATTCACTCAAATAATGCTCTTAAAATTCTTTTTAATTCTTTTATATGAAAAAATTTGTAACAAAACTACAAAAATCATTCGAAAACGTTAACGACGAGACTACTAACTTTTATGTGAAAAATTGTATTTTAATAAACAAATAGCACCATTACTATTCCTATTTTTGTATTTTATTTACCTTAATAGCAACATATGAGTAATATTTTTTGTTTTCATTTTTGTACAACTTCTTCTCGATAATACCTTCAAATGCAATATCTATTTTTATCTTACTGTATGTCTATAATTCACTATAATAATATGTAATAATATTAGTACAAAAAAAAAGGTTATTGCGTATTGAAATACAGAGATCACAATATTATTATTTATTAAAATCATTTTTTGGTAACTTTGATTGCTGAAAAGTTGGACTATTTATTAATAACAAATATTTATGACTGAATTAATATTTAATACATCCGCACTACAATGCCTATATTCAGTAAAAAGTCACACTTAACTCCTACTGTACAGCAGAGTAATTAACTTCCGATGACTTTATTTTGTATTGATAAATCGTATTTAATAATGTAACACCGGTATTCCGGAATAAATATTAACAAGTGAGCCAAATAAATTTGAATCGTTAAAATATGATATAAACTACACATTTTTATCGCGACTCTTAACTTAATATTTTTTTTAAAAAATTTTAATTTTTTTTTCTTCGTATTCTATTTTAAGCTAATTTATACATTTACATATAACAATTCTAACCATAACTAAATATTATAATAAAAAAAAATAAAAATAACCATTATTATTTATAAGAATTAAAATAGGTTTGATGAGCTCTAAATAACATGGCAATTTTAAACACTTAAACTTAATTTTCAGTTTAAGATAATATATTATTGTTTTATACTTAACAATAACAAGTGATATACAATAAATGTTCTCTACAATTATATATACTTAAGATAAATACTAAATCTCAAAAAATAGAGATGTTAAAATATTATGTATTTATTATTTACTTTTTAAATTTTTTAAATCAAAATTTTAAAAATATGAAATAATATCTTTTTAAAAAAAATAATAAAAAAACCCTATTTGTATACTTATATTTATTCTTAAAATAATAATAATTATTAGACTAAGGTAGCCCTTACGTTAATTTAAATCAGTCCGCTTATTAAATATTTGAACATATGACCCGATAGCTAAAAGGTTAAATTATTAAAAAAATATTTTATTTTATTTATTTATTTTTTTTCATTTATAAGTTTTATAAGTTATTTAGTTATGTATTTATATTTTTATCAAACATTCGAATATCTTAATAATGCGATATACCATAAGATGACATAATGGTTAATACATAGTAATTTATTAAGTAATATTCAATTTTCGATATTCGAGGTGATTATTCCCGTACATTACAGGGAGTTCTCACCAAGCACCGTTATATAATTACCCTGATCAAGCTATAATACGATAACGATTAAATAACTCCCTACTTACAGAATAATAACTGAATAGCACATAGTTTAGTGAAAAACTCGTAAGTTAAAATTTTAAATGGCGTGAAATATAGCTCGTTATAGCCTATAAGTGGTAACATTATATTAAACAGTAAACACTGATTAAAATGCGATTATTATTCTAATGCAAATACCTACTACAACAGCTTGTGGTTAAGTACGCCAATAATGTGATTCGTTTAGTCCTACGCATTATTAGCATAGGTATAATATTTTACGCCACGGTGACCAGAATACTGCACAATTACAGACAGTTCAAACGATTAAACGTGTTATTGTTTGAACGAGGTAATAACGTGGAAACGATTTTTCGTACGTGACAATACTGAAAAACGTGAGGGATTCGGAAAATGGATTAGAGTGACTGTAAATGTGAATAAATTCAGATTTAACGCAATGTTCACACATAAATTATAGACATTTTATTTACACACCATTGAAAACAAATAATATCAAATAAACCTGAACGTTCGAAGCTACCTACTTATAATAACATAATTTATAGTAACTCATCTTAATAAAATACAAGTGTATTTTTTTTTTTTTTTAAATTGTTTTAATACGATACAGTTACTTTTAATGGTCTCTCGTTCACATTTTTTTTTACCCACAAGATTATTTCGTTAACACAATTATAAGTGTATTATTAATGGCAATAGTCATTGTTTTACCTGGTATGAGCATTTGTAAAAAAAATCCAACCACCAAGATTGATGGTAACATAGCCACTGATGAAATCATCCGAGATAATCTGAAATAAAAATACAACAAAAATATATTAAATCATTGTATTACCATTGAAAATATTCAATGTATATAATTAAATAATTAATATTACTATACTGTGTAGGTATGAAAATGTGTGTGTGTGTGCATTACTGAATATCACTGTCGTAAAATCGATATCGTATTATAGTAAATGCAACATTTTTTACCAAATCTTTTAGCCGTAATGCAGCTAAAATGCACGCATAAATACATATTTATTTTGTATTCAGAAAGATTATTGGAATTTGTGATGGTACGTTTAACGTTTTTGATCCCTTCTTATGTACTCATATGTATATTAAACGGTCAAGAATTTTTATTTGCTATAAGATTTAAGCATAACTAAAAGAGTTGAATATTGTGTTTCAGCCCGATCGAAAAAAAAATGGTTTTTCGATATCTTGATGTACCTATTTATACTATTATTATACTTAAGTTGATGCGTGTATCGCAAAAATTTCCAGACTATTAAAATATACGTCGTCAATTTATTATTATATACAAAAATCTCGTAATTTATTCTATAATATGCCACTATTTCGATTATTATTATTATAATTTCACTTTAAATCACACATCATATTAATAATATGAAGTATTATATATTTATATACATACGATGATTCTCCGTGTTACTTGTACAGAGTAACTTTTAGTAAGATATTTTAGAAAAACAAAATTAAATACTCTACAAAGTAACATTCTACATATTTTATTTTTATTTTTTATTCTTACGTAGTGTATAAGTCATTTTTATCTACCTAATAAGAAAATTATTTTATTTTACGATAAATATTTGATTTATACCACCTACATACACATTACACACATATATTTTATCTGTGTTTATAGTATACTAAGCCATTTTTACCGAGTGTCATGGCGATTGTACTGTAGTGGGAAAGGCAAGGGTAGGGGGGCCCTCGGTAAAAAAAATAAAAATATAACATGTTTCAAGACATCGTAAAATCGAAAACACAACATAACACAAAAATGTGGAGTATACGTATAGCAGAAAACAATAAGTCTCACTTTTTTTTTCATTTTTTTTTTTTTTTATACGCGTACTGCTTCCAGTAATATACCAATACAGAGTTAAATGGATTTATTCAGATCGAAAAACTTCCTATACTATGCGTTTGCAAGGCAGAGACGCCACATGTGAATGTAGCGTCTTCTTAATAATTTTTAGCAATATTATTATTTTGAATAAAATATTCATAACATTAATAAAATAACCATCATAGTTGTGTACGCTAATAATAAACTAATAATGACTTTTAAATATTAAATATTAATTACATATATAGTTTTGCAATATGCACTATACGATATACAGTTAAGTATAAATAGGTACTATACATTATGAATAATAGTAAACATGTCGCACAACGACTGTTGATATTAACTATTTTTGGAATCTCTGTAGTCATTCGAATTATTATTATTAAAATAATGTATAGTCATATAATATTATAAACATCACTTAGTCAGCTACTACCTGTATTATTTTACACTTTTTGAAAATAAGATAATCGGTAATTTCTTTAATTTATATTTTGTTTTTATTTGAATTAAAATGTTTTTATGTTTTTATTGATGTTAATATTCACAAATCGATTGCACAATCATTAGACATTTAATTTAACGAATCAATAATGAACTAATGTTTAATAGTCCCTAATGAAATTTAATTGAACCATCTAATACTAGTGCAAAACGGCATTAGTATGTTTCAATCTAATCTAGTATCAATATCGTGCTAAGAAGTAAAAATAAAATTGGTCAGGTCTCACCGATCTTAATCCTACTGAATTTTTTTTTTTATTTATTTAATTGATTTGATATTGATTTAAAATAATTTTTTTTTAAATAGTCCAATCTCAGTCTTTTTCAACAGTTAAAAAATAAATCAGTCTAGTCTCGGCCCAGTTAAATTATTTTAATGATAGTCCAGTCCAGTCTCGGTTATAATCAAAATTAACTAGTTCGATCTGGTCATAAAAATACAGACCGCGTTGAGTTCATGTAAATGATAGGTATATTATATTATTATGTATAACATTATTATTATTATTAATATGACGAGGGAGTATATTATACTATATTGTACAAAATTGTACACGATAACTATATATCTACTGTGTGAACGACGACGCCGCCGGTCGTACGCAATTTTCCCCGTACCAAATAGTAAGTAATCACTTTAATTATTATTATACGTGTAATGTTGTATAATACAAAATCATGATGGGTGGGCATGTGTGTGTGTGTGTGTGTGTGTGTGTGTGTGTGTGTGTGTGAATGTGCGTGTATTCGCGCGCGTGTGTGTTTACAGTTTTAGCCTACGGAGCGCGACACAACGGGCGAAATCCACTTTGTCTCATGTATATACGGCCGTTATAACAGCTACCTACCTACATCATGATATCGTGTTACCGTCGACGAAAAAAGTCATTTATTATGGTTTATTTTTGTTTTTTCGACGTACGAAATTATATATGTTATATATATATAAAAAAAAAAAAAACAAATGAAACCACCGAAAGTCGCGCACATATTATCTTTCCGTCATTCACCCCCACATAGATACCAGTGACAAAAAAATATAATCTTGGAAATTACAATAAATGCACATATGTAACTGTGTAATCGTGTGTGTGTGTGTGTGTGTGTGTGTGTGTGTGTGTGTGTGTGTGTGTATTGAACGACATGCAAGATAAATCTATCACGCGTGTTTATTATATGTACCTACAACGTATACAATGTTAGATATACGACGGCGTACGTTTGTTAACGCGCGCGTGCAATTGCAACCGTCTAATAACGAAATCCCGGAGGGGGGTATGTAACAAAAACCGAGGGAGAAAAGCAAACACCGAGATCAAATAAAATATATAAATATTTTTACCACACTTGAAAAGAACAATTTATACTCCACGTCGGCGTTATGACATATTGCCAGCTATCGGATGATATTACTGCGTGCTTTTGTTTTGTTTTCGTTGTTGTTATTATTATTATTATTATTTTCTACACTATTTTTTAAAGTCAAATCTGATACGTGTATCTTTTTTCTCCCGGACGGTTTAACGTTTGAGACGTATCTCAACATATCATACATGCGTAGTTTGACGTTTAAACAACAATATAACTACCACTACTACTACACTACTACCTTCTCTACACCACACTGCCGTATAGCAACGTCTGAGTATACGAACACCGAACAATACAATAAATTGTATAATATAATAAAATAATCACAATATATACGTTATATTGTGATTATTATTTACGTATATACACAAAACTGATAACGCTTTAAGTATATCATGGCCAAAACCAGATTATAGAAACGTGTTTTTTTATAAGCCTGCCAGTTTCAACTATTTTGACCACGGATATCTCTCTCTCTCTGTATATTATATTTTAGTTCACATATTATTTGATTATCTAAATATAATATTCAGCAACAAAATATCTTATTATCCGGTTCTGTGCATTCTGCATAAGTACAAATGATTTCAATTTTACATTCTAAGCGGAGCGATAGTCATCGCTATATTGAATTTACAATGACGTGTATATTTTTTTATATCTATCGATATATTTTTGAATAGTAAACATTCATTGATTTTCAACTTTGGAAATTTTCCTAATGACTGTGAAAAACAAAGAAAAAATCAAAGAAAAGTAGAACATTTTCACTAAGTTAACCAAGTTTTTGCAAAATGTATTTCTTTATTTTCTTATATTTCAAAAACGAATAACTATATAAGCTTAAAATATTGACTAATGGTTTATAATATATTACCACTGTAGTTTTATACATAGTATAATTAAAAATATTTTTTACTCTTTTTAAGCTATTTATAGATAATTAAAAATTTCGAATTATTTTTTGTTTAATTTTTAATGTCAATTAAATTTTTTCACTCGATCAAAAACCTTGACAATTTAATATAATGTTTCTCGTTAGTAGTTAATTATAAAATAAAATAAAATAAAAAAAAAAAAAAAAATGATTATCTTATTATGAATCACGTATTACCTTATAAAAATTAGACCATAAAATAATATAACAATACAATTAATGTATAGAGTTTTAAATATAAATTATACAATTATTAACAATTATTAATTTCAAATTCAATAATTAAGACGTGTCATAATATAGTTACTTGTATAATTTTTACACTAATTATTGTTTTAGAAAAATGTATTATCGTAACTTTAGGCTCTAGAAGAATGAACAACCAAATAGAAATTCAGGCATGTTTGTTACTTAGTTGATTATTAAAAATAAACGAGTTTGTTTAATTTAATGTTCTTCAATACTTAAAATATAATAAAAAGTAAAAACCTATTGGTACCGTGTAAAATGATAACAATTTTTCAACATTAATATGGCCAAAACGTATTATTATTTTTAAATATATAGTATGCAAAAATGTTTAAATTAAATTAAACCGCTCTACCATATTATCTTCTGCCACAGATAACGAACGGACAAAATATGTATTAAAATATAATAACAATATTATGTTCAATGAAACCGCAGTAAACAGTCTAAGTAAATTAAGAACGTATAGGTACACCTTAATACTTTAATAACAATAGATTCAGTATGGACGAAACTCGTTGTTATAAGTAGCTTATCAATATTAAACCCGTCAGAGTGGACCGCAAGGGTTGGATTATTTTTTAAGTATTCAATTAAAGCGCTGAAGAATCTATGTACACCTCTGCGAAATTTTCCAAAACCCTGGTTTCCAGATACCGGGCCGTATAATATGATAAAAGTTACGGTAATAAGGTGAGTTCTTATTTTCACCCCAATAATAACACTAAAATACCTATACACGTAATACACGTAACGATGACATTGTCGCAAACGAGATACTTGGAAAAATAAAATGCGACAAAATACCGTAAAATGCACAGACCGCAAAAAAGGTAAAATTAAACTGAGTATGCATA